ATTCTTGATTCTCGATCTCGACGCATCGCAACGCATTATAAAACATTGGTTTTGGGTGGGTCACTTTTATCCCAAGTTAAAATTATTTTATAATAAGTTTAAAATTTTAGTTCTAAGAAAGCGTTTAATGAAAAATATACAATTTAAATGTGTATTCAAAAGCTCGAATCACGGGACAGAGGAAAATTTGCTAATTCCTCTTTTTGGGGGGCTATTAACTAAAAAAACAGTTAGTAGAAGAAAAAACGAGCCAACTTTCTAAGAGGGGAAAGAAAAATAGAAAATCACATGGCAGTGGAGAATATAGAGCAAAATTTGATTCATGCTAAACGTATAAGAAACCTCCTAACTCCCTTCCAAAGTTTCCAAATCTAACTATTATTTGTTATCCCACCCTATTTCTCCCACTAAAAAAACAAAACATATCACATTTTAACCTTTCTTAATTCTTATAGAAAAATAAAACAAGAAAGAATGAAAAAGAAAAAAGAAGTAAGAATCCGTTTGGTTGCACGAATGGAATTTGAATGGAAAAAAAATGAATTCCAAAAAAGTGAATTGCTTAGAACTTGTTTTGCTGGGAATTGTTAGTTAATTGCGTTTGATAGATATAATTTTTCACCTGGAAAATATTAAAATTTTGAATTTTTGGTGTTCGTTTGACTTTATTTTTCATGGAAATTGTTCATTAAAGGGATAGAATTTGTTTCAATTGTACATAAAATAATAATAATTGCCTAGAAAACCAAAAACCACCAAACCATGAATAATAATAATAATTGCCTAGAAAACCAAAAACCACCAAACCATGAGAAAACCAATTCAAGGAATATGTGGAAAATGGGGTCATGCGAGGTATAAGTTGGAAATTTTTTCCTATCAAACAACCTGGAAAATGGAAAATAATTTCCAACTTCTATGGAAAATTCTTCCTAATAGGGCCTAAAGTTTATAAGCTTCTGTACAAGCACACTTGCCAAAGCCAACTCAAAATCACAGAAAGAAAGGAAAAGTACTTAAACAATACAGTATACAATTATGGCACTTTCAGTAAGATGGATTGACTACATTGGAGAGTATTGAGGAAGGCGAAAAAAGAAGTTAAACTCTTGTTTATTATATGGTCCCAATTTTATTCAATATTGCGAAACAGAAGTGCACATGAATAATAACTATAAGCTAAGCCTATAGGGAAAATAAAATAAATTTCAATGGGAATATCTCATCATCAGCCAAAAAACCTAAATCTCTAATCAATCCAACGCTGCATCTTGATCTCAGAGAAACAAAATGTAAATATAACAACAAAGCTGAATTTCAACAAACTTAAATGATAAATGCAATTTCTGAAGTACCTGCACTTTGTTGAGGATTAATTCCCACACCATCTGCAAATAATTCGACAGAAAAGAAGAAGCCAAAAATCATTAAACAGCCAAAAGCAGCAATCTTCACGAAGTTAACATATGTTGGATCAGTAAAATCCTCCTCTACCACCAAAAGAAATTCAATTTCGAAATCCAATAAGAAAATTCTAGCAAAAAAAACTAGAAATTATATATAAGATACCGTTGGTGATAATAGCGCTGGTTTGAGGAGGAACTTTGAATTCCTCAGCAGCAAATTTGAGAACTGCAGTAAATGGAGCTGCCTCTGGAACGCTAAATCTGCGTCGACAATTTATTCAAAAAAATTAAAAGAAAAATGAAAGGGTTTCTTCAAGAAATGGAAATTAATTTTACATAAACTGTGAAAAAAAATGAAAGGGTAATTTAAGAGTAACTAACACTTTAAACGGAAGTTTGGGATCGGAGGTGAGAATGACCTTGAAAGACACCTTTCCGCCGCCGGTCGCCATTTTCTCTTCGGTTTTTTTCTTTTCGAAATATATTTTCCTCTTTTCTTAAAAGAAATTAGAAAACAAAGGCGTTTAACGTTTTAAAGCTCAAGGAGTAACAACTGCGTAAGAAGTACGAGGAGCGCGACTAAAAGAAAATTGCACCATGGATCCCTAACCTACTGCTTTAGTAGCAAGTTGATCCGAAGTCTTCTATTATAGTACGTAATCAGGCCATAATGATGTAGCCTCAGTTTGATGAAAATTAAAATTATATTTTTATTTGATTTTGATAAAAGTTAATAAAATATATACCTGAAAAAATTGTGGATCTCATAAAATTCCGTACAAGGTTAAATTTTGATCCATGAGCATGTCCAAAATAAAATCCTTCCATATAGTAATTAAGACGTATTTTTCCCCCTTAGTATTAGCAAGTCCAAATTTTGTTTTTCTAAGTTTTTGCTAATTTTTTGTTCTTTCATAATCAATGGTTACATCTCGATAGTGAACATGCTTTAGTCTTTGCGAAAGGAAAATGTTAAAGATTTACCTTGTATAAAGTATTGCAATTTTATTTTTTAAAAAAAATCTCAATTGTTGTCGGAGTAAAGGAATGTCAATAAATATGTTTTAGTGTGTTGTATATCTTCCAATATAACATCACGGGCTATCAAAAAGAGGTGTTTGGTAAACATTAAAATCGGATTAAAATTAAAAAATTAGCCGTTATTATTGACTTTTATTAGACGAGTGAGACCCAATATTAATAACGACTACATTTTCAATTTTAATTGGATTTTAAGTTTAGCCAAACATGGTCTAGATTTTCAACTGAAAAGGCTATTCCAATAGTCCCCAACGAATTCTTGATTTGGAATAGAGATTCTTTTGTAATTTCAATTGATTCTTTTCCCACATTGTTGTAATATTAAGTAATGTTGAATGGACTCATTCAAGAACAAATAAAGAATAACAAACTAATAGAATTTTGTACGGAAAAATCAAAGAATACGTATAAAAAAAGTATTCGAATAATATATACAACGAATTGAGATTATATACCACTTCAAGAGAAAGGAATCAAGACCTATGGTGTTAGCTCAAACAAAGCAACAAGAAAAAAAATAATGCAACTAGTAATTAAGAAATTGTCCACAAACTAATCGTAAAAGCCGAACCAAGAATCATAGTCCACCACTTCCCCATTGATGGTCGTAATCCAGTTGAATCACTGCAAATCAAATTGTGGTTATGGTACGTGCACACGGGTTTTTTCCTGCAATCATCACGACAAAAATAACATCGTTTAGAGAACAATAGTACTACAAATCGGATAATTTCTAGGATTTGTTACCTCGATAAGCAAAATGCGACAACATAATCTGTTCCCGTGCATGTACAAATGCTAGATGGATCATCATACGCATAACTATAAGATGTAGGACACGCTTCCTTGAATTTTTTTGAGTAGGATGTAGGCTGACATGTAGACGGGTTCCCATGCATACCCCGACAACAGTACTCATCGGTATTGAACACATCACACGCACTTCGACATGCCACGGTCCTACCATTGCTTCTAACGGCCAGTTCTTTAGGGCAAGTAGACCTTAAATCTGCATCACACCCTGCAACGCTACAATTTCCTTTACCATTAAGGGGTGTCACACTTATTGGCAAGTTGAACCCATCGACGAGGCTAACGTCGTAAAAGTCCAATGTGGCGAGGGTGAATTCGGCTAGAGACGCGGGGGGTTCGCCCGAGCCTGAACATTTTAGAGAATTGCCACAACGTCCGGTTTGACAAAGTCCATTACCATCCCTGTCGAAATTGCAGCCTGTTCGAGCCCATATTCGACCAGACCAACTGACTGGGGCCGTGAAAACAAGAGATTGGCCCGGTCTTAAGGCGAAACCACCTCCGTTAAAATATTCACCCGGAAAAACAGCAGGCCAAATTGTCTCTCTACAATGGTTTACTATAGTGAATATTCGAGCAGATTCTGAAACTTTTGCTCCTGTTCACCACATAAGAAGAAACATAATGAAAATTATGGAATGTCGAAATATAAATATTTATAAATAAACTATTGTCACAACTTAAGCTTTTAAACGACAATACTACAAGAAAACTGTGTAAAGAACCAAAAAAACTCCCTTCCCACTGCCCCTCCATCATCTGATCATCTTGCTCGGACGACACTTACCCCCCACCCCAGCCTGCCCTATCGACCCCGTACTAATGAGAATTTGGCTCCACGAAAAATTGAACAAAAAGTCGCCGAATTTGCCTATTTTTTGGGGGTACCAATTGAAAATAAATAACTATGACGATGTAGTATTACCTATTATGAAAAGATGTAGAAGCAAAAATGTTGACAGAAGATTTTGATGAAGTGCCATGTTTTCTTGATCCTTTTTGCCGCTGAAGGAGGGGACCATACTTGCATATATAGAGAAAAAGAAAAATAAAAAATGCATAGTAGGAATACGTGCTGTGGTAAAGAGAAGCGATAAATAATTGTATAGAAAAGTTAGAAACTTAGAATTATTCCTTTCCTAATCTGTTCTTGGAAGATTAGTATTCATTCTTTCATCCACGGCACGAGCGTGGGAGTTGGTCTAACTTTGGTATATGGGCCATAAGGCCCATAACATAATTGGACCTGGGCTAAAGGGCCCATCGATAAGCTAAAATAATGGTCCACATCTAAATATGGACTCAACCCAAGCCCAATTACTGGGCAAAAGAGGCATCTATAAATGTCATGATATTGTTTCGACTTTCGAAGATATAAAATAAAAAATGAACATCTCTCTCTCTCTCTTTTCTTTTTTTTTTTTAACTAAAGTCTAAATTACATGTTAGGCTAAAGCTCCAGTTATGTTTGACTAACTCAGTTTTGAAAATATTGCTTATAAATATTCCCGCAAATTTTGAAAACATTGCTTGTAGATAAAGTTTCTAGCTTAACCAAACTTAAAAGCATTTATCTATACTAATCAAAGTTGAACGTGCATTATACATTATTCTGAAATACTTTATAAGTACTGTAAAAGTAATATTTGATACCAATTTGTTGGAATGATTTGACGAATTTAAAACAAATTAAGAGTGTGTTTGGTAGGGATTTTTGGGGGAAGAATTGATTTTTGAATAGTGATATGATGGGAAATGTGTGGTTGAAAAAGAAGAAAGAAGTATTGATGTGATGGAAAATATTATTTTATTGAAGAATGTGTGGTTGAAAATGAGAANCCCCAACATGAAACTTACTCCTTTCTTTGCCGAGATCGCCATATTGTCAACCGTAGCTTGAATGAGCAATCACATCGCATCTTTCACCCGCTTTGCTATCGAACGTGTCATCGGTTCTCTTTCGATAATCAACGGGTTTCGTCCTAGGCTTGGCTTCGTCGGGCTCGACTCCTGGATCATATGATTGTCTACCTTAGGAAGATTTCAATATTGTGTGACACTGGGAAATTGATTATGTTGATTTAATTACAAGAATAATATTATTTATATCACAAGAATAATGTTATTTATATTTATAAATAAGATCAGTTAAACGTCCGAATATAATATTTAATGTCAAAGCATATGGTGATTACCATCATGAATATAAGGCCATGTTTGGTGCCAATTCTCATTTTCAACAGTAAATCAATTCTCATTTTCAACCACACATTTTTCAATAAAATAATATTTTCTATCACATCGATAATCTTATCTTCTTTTTCAACCACACATTTCCCATCATATCACTATTCAAAATCAATTCTTCCCCCAAAAAATCCCTACCAAACACACACTAAATGATAGACTAAATAAAAGGTGAAATTAAACGACTTATTTAATTTCACATATCATTTAATGACACATTAACGCCACCTAAACTGAGGTTGTAACCCCAATTGGGCTAAATATCATTACTCATACGAAATTCATACATGATAATGATTTTGTAGCATTTATTACATATTAAAAACGAATAAGATATTATTGAAATAATTGAATTGTAGTAGATTTAAAATCGTCCAAAAATAATTTTCAATATTTAATATATTATAGATAAAATAAATAAATATATAAAATGATATCAAAGCAAATAAAAAACTAGCGTGGATAGATGCTGTCATTCTCATAACAACCCAATCCCTGTCTTGACCACTTTCGAATTCCTAAAGTCACTTTTGATAACAATTGATAGCTAATATGCAGCGCAAAAGCCGTCATGGCTTCACCAAAAAGTGTTTTCGGTACATAAAATTCAGAAATAACAGCTGATTTGTGAGGTCCAAATGTTCACTTTTTCTAAAAGTTGCATTCATGCCCCTTTGACAAAGTTTTTGAAAAATCAAAAATTATTTTAAGACTAAAAAAGTTGTTTTTGAACCTGTTTGATAATTTTCTGAAAATAATTTGTCCAGTTCAAAGAGTCTTTGGTAGTGTTCTAAAAAAATATAAAACGTAATTAGGTGTGAAAACCAATTTTCAAGGTTTACAAACCAAAAAGATCCTAGGTGAGGCCTATACGTAACAATATATTTTCTTATTTTTAATATTATTTTAAATTTTTAATCATTCTAAAAATCATTTAATGATTAAAATAATATATATCAAACACCAAAAGTTATCAAATATTCTATTTACTTAATAATTCATACAATTAATCAATTATCCAATTATAAAATTTTTGAGATGCAGTAGTCAAAACTATTTTTTATAATTTCAAATTTTAACTAGACATATCTTACTTAATAGATTTATAGAAATTTCACATATACTTTCAAAATTTTCAATAAAACGATAAGTCTCAAAATTATAATTACATAATATAGATAACGCCGTAACTTAAATCTTATTTATCTCTTTATTGGACTCCAATTCAATATCGTATTCTTCATCCTACTTGGACTCCCTAATTCAATCATCTACAATCCAAGATTGAGTATTAGCGCCATTGTTTGTTGATGAGTCTCTATTTTGCCATTTCTCTTGTCCATCAATTTTACATTAAATTGGACATAAAAAGATTGTTCATCCATGTAGTGTAAAGTTGATTCCTTTTCATTGTGCGTATCTACAAAAAAAAAAAGGTACATTAAATGAAGCAAATCATATTTCAATAATTATTCTTCGATCAAAATTTAACAACTAATTAGTATTTACTCCTTCAAAAGTACTCCAATTCCTTTCACAACTCAATGAACTAGTAGTCAAACCAATGATCCTTTTTTGCCATTGTCTTTAAATATGGTGTTTCATTGCCATAGAAATCCCACCAACTTACTAATAAATATAAATGAAAGAGTCAAAATATTATTTATATAATCATATATAAAACATAATTAATTAATAAGTCGATGACATGAGATAAAAGGGAATTATGTCAACATACCCGAATTAAAATTTGCATAGTTGTTATCACATCGACTTATTGTTAGCTTTCTTACAAATGAACCATCTTTGTTAGCATATCTTTCGACACACACTCACTCATTGTTACCTTTGTTCCAAATAAACCTTCTTTTTGAGCATATTTTCAACAACTACACCAAATGTCTAAGAATATTTATTTCTAAATCAAATGAACTAGTTAGTGTATTGTCTTCAATCTTCACCAAATTCAAATTTCTTACTTGAACACGTTGAGTGAGATAGATTGGATTTGGAGCAGTCGAGCATCACTGTTTTCCAATTATTCTTTGGGCACAGTTTTGTTTGATATTTTCTAACGTGTTTTCATTTTTTAGTTTTGTCTAGATAAAATCATTCAAAATTTTGAAACTAAAGTCAAATAAAGAACATTTAAAAAATGAAAAAAATTAGTGAAGTGTGATTAGTCACGTAGTAAGAGATCAATTTGGCAGTTGATCGCTTAATTTCGTGCTCATTACCAAGGCGTGGCGTTTCACATGTGTCTAGAGACGCTTTTTAGAAGATTGATATTTAGAGTAAACTAACATAAAGTAACTTTCTCAAAGTATTTATAAGAGATTCTTTATTTTCAAAAATAAAGAAATATATATATATATATATATATATATATATATTTCAATTTATAGAGCATTTACAAATTGATCCATGTACAAATAGTTCAACATAATTTTAAGAGTCGATTATTTTATGAGCTTCATCTACATTAATGTATTTGAAAACTGATTTCTATAAGTATTTCTAGAGAAAGCAACATTGAACCAATTATTTCTAAAAACACTTCTAACTAAAATAAGCTTTTTAATAAAAAAAAAAAATCAAAATGGTCCGAAAGTATATTTTGTATTTCAAAAGCTTATTTTGACTTCTTAAAAGTCATGCTAAATGCGTCCTAAATTGATCGTACAAATAGTTCTTAATTTGAATTGAAACATATTTTCGTATGAAATAGATGATCATTTAACGTAGACTTTTACAATTCATCACTATGTGCTGATTGTGCAGTAATAGGAAAAGTTAAAGACCAACTTCTTACTCAAACTAAGATGGGAACCAATGATGTGATATTCTCCACTTATATATGATGAACTATTTTTCTACTTTATTTTGGAGAAATCACATTTTAATTATAATTCGATATTCAATCAAATACTCATATACTCGTTCTTCTTCAAAAATTTGTGTATCATCCTTGTATTCAAGCATAGTATTAAGGGTGTGTTCGGTCGTGATTAAAATTCAATTAAAATTGAAAATATAACCGTTATTGGGTCCCATTCGTTTAATAAAAGTCAACAATAAATGCTAATTTTTCAATTTTAATCTGATTTTAATCTCGACAGAACACGCCCGAATTTTCATAAAATTAGAAGGAAAAACTTGAGTTTCATTATGTTGATTCGATTAATTTCTCAAAGTTAGTTAAAAAGGGAAAACATATGCACAAAATATTGTTCTTTGCCTTGTATAAAATTCCAAATTCAAATTTATTTATTTTTTACTTTTTTGTGAATGAAGTCTTGAGAACGTAGGTTCTTGATTATAATTGTGTAATGATTTGGAAAAATATATGATTGATGGCTAAGGGAAGCTTATTCTCAAACTTAAAAGTCAAAATGAGTCCTCTTTTGTAATTGGTGTTACTTAGGCCCCCCATATTCTGGTCTCAAGAGTAGGGTCACCTACTGTGGTGTGATTTAAAGTGCACATGTAATTCGGTAGGGGTGGGACATCACCTACCTTTAATCAAGTTATCATCTTTTTCTTCAAATATGCATGCATCTATTTCATTAATGCTTCTTCAAATATCCTTTCTTTACATTTTATTAAACACTAAGAGTGTGTTTGGTAGGGATTTTTTGGGGAAGAATTGATTTTTGAATAGTGATATGATGGGAAATGTGTGGTTGAAAATGAGAATTGACTTACTGTAGAAAATAAGAATTTACACCAAACAGACCCTAAATATCCTCGTTTAAGGGTGAAACAAGTTGCCTTTGCAGAGATTTAGTAAAATCCACTCAAATAGAGACAATTCCACTTACATCCTTATGCTTTCATACTTGTAAATACTCTACCAAAATTCCATTCACAACGTTCCAAGACACATTTCTTTTTTCAAGTCATTTTGCCTAAGATGGTACACATTTACATTGATGACATATATAACAATATAGATATATTAATGAAAATTCCTTTTGAGAAGCTAAGCATTACCCTATATCTCAATAAAAACCCATAGCATACACATCTAACATTAGCACTTGTTTGATTTTGTTAAAAGTTATAATTTTTATAGATTTTTATAAAAGTTGATGAAATAGAGTAAAAAGTTATGAGTTTCGTGAAACGTATAATTAAAATTAATTATTAAATTTAACTGAAAATTTTAGCAATTTTTTTAGTTAAATCAATCATGGTCTAGGTATCCAACTATATATGTAGCTAGAGTCTAGTGGTCTATAGATAAGTTGGTCTATGGGACTAATATCAGAAAATCTCCTAAAAACATTTTCATGTGCGATATATCTATACTTATTAGAAATCATAGAAAACTCCTTATTTGAAACATTTTGTCGAAAAACCTCATACCGCCAAGATCCGTCAGATTTGCCGTAAAAACAATAAAAATGCCAAAATCAAAAAGAAATAATTATAATTTCAGTACCCAAACTTTTTTATTTTTTACAAATTAAATCCAAATTTTATATATGTGTTACATACAATCTCAAATCTTTAAAACTTTATTGTCCACCCCACCTCATCTTCTTTCCCAAAAA